TATATGGTGATTGCCACTGGCAGGTCGACCTGGCACGTCAAGAACATTGCTCAAGCTCTAATTTACCAGGCAGGTCCATTGGTTCAGTTTTTTGCAATGCCATGCTTGTCGCTTGTGTATTAAATTTATCGGAAATGGACAGAGGGACGGCTAGTTGGTTGAAACCACTGCGGTTGCACAAAGATAGAAGGAATCAGGTCCAACTTCAAAACTCTGGTTCAGAGTAATTAGACTGCATAAATAATTGAGCATACGAATTTATTTAGTTCCATTAAGGTTGCTGATTTACATGTCTCCTGAGGTGTAGTCTTTCTATGACCGTTATCCCTGCCATAGCCACACAAAAAAAAAAAAAAAAAAAAACGTCTGAGAATTTGAGTGAACTAGGTGAAGGACAAAAATTAACTGACAAGAAAATATTATGCTCGGTTGAATTGAGATATTGGCCATTGGGTATGGTTATTTTCTGTGTTCTGTATTTATCCGTTCAGAGAATAATGCTCACCATCCTTTCATGTTCTGTGCTTATGTGTAACCAGTCTAAGCAGAAGCAGAGAGGAGCTGAACGAATGGTGCTACCTAGTGTGGAAGGTCAAGAGGGAGGAAAGTGGATCGTAATTGACTCTGGTATCTGATGATGCTTTGTCTCTTTTTTTTTTCTTTTTAAACTTCTGTAATGGGTTTGCTGATTAATTTGGGACAACCACAAAGTTTAAAACTAAGGCAGCAAATTGTCAGGGATGACAGTAGGGATAATAACCTGTTATAGGCATCGTATCATTCAATAACATTGTGTAACTGAAGTTGAGGACGATTTTTTTTATTATGCTCTGTCCGTGATAAGGATTTTTTTTTTTTTTTTAATTGGAGCTAGAGAACCCCCTCCCCTCCTAAAAAAGGGTCACTTACTAGCTAAGTTGATTTTTCTTCCCCCAAACATTCCTATTTCCTCCATGTGAGTTCGCAAATATTCATTTTAATGATATCTGACAATTGGGATTATCAGTTGTTATACTGGTCCTTCAATTTTATCGCAGAAGCAATTTGAAATACGTTAGTGGGTCCTATATAACTTGCTAGATCTAAACATGCCTTGATTTTCCCTTATTGATTCAGGTAGAGTTATAGTTCATGCTCTTGATGAAAAGGCCAGAGCTTATTACAATTTGGAGTCTCTTTGGAACTCAGAGACATTGGACAAAGAACCTGTACGTGTTTCTTGGCTTTTTGTCCCCCCCCCCCGGGGGGCTATTATGTAACATTGTTCTGTTCTAAGTATACTGGATTCATTAATCCAGGGTAACTAAATTGAAGCTTTGCTAATTTATTCTCGGTAGTATCGAAATTTGATCTAAATAGGCTTCTTGATTTTTTAAATTACATCTAAAATTAACATAATTCTAATACTTCTGACAAAAAATGTTCAATTCAGTTTAGCATCATTAATTGGATAATCGCTCATGCTCAGTAACACCTTTTATGAACTTGTTCAAAGGTGCATATTGGTCTGGATTTTCATGGGATGTCAAAGTGAACTCCATTCCGGTGTCTGAGGTCTGTATTTCTGTTTTCAGGATTTGGGAAACGCTTTGGTTAAGATCCGCAGGAAAAACAATTCTAAGAAACGAGCACAAAGGAGTGCTTAATTAGTGTATCTCTGCAGGAGTCGTGAAGGAGCTTGTAATTGTTGTTTGTGAACAACGAAAGTGCAGGCGCATCAATTGTAAACAGTAGGAAGAGATCAGGTTTTGACGCATGGTCTCCTTGTTATCTGTTTTTGTCCTCGTGCTGAATCCCAGCTTCGTTGGTTTAGAATCCCAAATAGCTTGTATTAGAATGCTAATCAGTTCTATTGTTATAATAAGATCCAAAAAGTTAACCAAAAGTGAGGGCAATAAGCTTTTTTCTCTCACTCTTTTTTTTTTTTTTTTTTTTTAATATTTTGGGGTGATGGAGGGCAATAAACTTTTGATATGCATATTTATGCTCGTTGTGTCTTTCTCGTGTTTAATTTGGAGATATTTTATCTTCAATCAAGGTTAAACAGAGCACACTTGATTACGGTAAACAGTCTACTCTTGCTTAATAGATCTTTGATCTTTCAAATCAAGAATAAAACGGAACTTGGTATTATTGTATTACTGCTGTATATTTAGTGATAATTTGTTATTGGGTAAGGTGCTTAAATAGCCTAAGGTACTGTTTGTTACGAAGTATTAAAAATGTGGGATAGGGATTGAGACTAAAATTGAGAAAATAGTATTTTGTATAAGAGATTGTTTGTTATATGGGATTAGAGAAAGTCATGTATGTGGAATTGAGGAATACCATGAGGGGAAGTGGTATTCTCTAATCCTACTTTCATGGGTTTACCTAATCTTATGTAACAAGTAATTACTCATGCTAAAGATTTTTTTTAATAATTTTTTTTAATTGTAATCCTAGTCCCTATCCCTCATTTTTAATAATTCGTACCAAACGGGATCTAAAAGTATACATGAAAGAGCACCTATTACTTAGAAGTTTTTCTGGCTATTATATGTCTTGGAAGTTTTATTTTATAGTATTTTTGTTTTGAACCGTTATTCGCTGTTAAGTTTAATCGCTTAAAATACCAATCACACTGCATGATTTATCAGTCAAACTTAACAGTAGATAATAACTGGAATATTTTTACCACGAAAATAATTTTTCAAGGCATATAAGAGCCAAAAGAAAGTTTAGCTGCTAAGTGCTCATTCATAGATACTTTTGAGGCATTTAAGTTTTTTTTTTTTTTGTTATCTATGGCTCCATGGGCCTCCTGTCTCTCTTTTCTTTCCAAGTATTATGTGTTTAAATTTTAATCATCATGTGTACTTATTGAAAAGTCCAATTCCCTTGTGCGATTGTATTGTGGGGTATTGCTAGCTAACTTCAATTCATTTGACAGACAGGATTTCTTTCTTGAAAACATTGGCAGATTGGATTGTAACACAGACACACAGTGATACATATAGATACACAAAACACTGTTATACAAGACGTAATATTTTTTAATTTTATTTTTTCAAACAATAAAATGCATTTTATTGTGCTCTAAAATTAACGTCCCAGTGTTGCACCAATCAATATCAAAACCTTTTTGAAGCGAATATCAAAACCTTTTACTTCTTAGGCAAGATATGTGTGTGTGTGTGTGTGTGGTAAACTGTATTATTTGCAAATAATAAGCATTACGATTTGTTTTTTAGATTTTGTGTAATGTGTGAAAAATGCCATTAACTAGTCCATATAAAATACGAATGAAAAATATAATATGTCATGTTATCTCTACTAATTGAGACTTTAAAACATTTTTCATCTTTTAAGTAAAATGTTTTGTTAGTCTGGAACAAAATTTGTCATCATTAAGTAAAATGCTTTTGTCAGTCGTTTGGAGGAATTAGTTTACTTTAATGACCTCTTAGGGACGGGACGTGCCCAGCAGGCCAACAGAGGTGAAGAGGGTTGATGTGGCATGTAAAATAAGAGTCTCCTGGTATTTATGTTTAGAATTATTTATAAATATGTTTTGTATAAACTGAGACAAAATTTTTTCAACTTATTTGTTTTGCGTTTTATAAATTATAATTGAAAGATTGTTTATAAGTTATTTCAAATAAGCCTTTAAATCCAACATTATTAAAGGTGCTCTTGATTAACATTAGTAAGGGAGCAACGTCTTTGTTTGGCGTTTTGAAAATTTTGAAGAATACAATGCAGAACTTAGGTCTTTATTGAATAACAAAGGAATGTAATGCCAACAATGTCCCTTATATCTAACCTGCGGCTAATTAAAAGACACTTGTAAATGATGTAAAAAAGAGTTGTCTTTTTTTTTTTTTTTATAATGAAAATTAGCTACCCTACTTCACATGATTTACCAGTAATAGTAGAAAACTTACAAGTTTAATATGCCGCCATCCTTTTATTCAAAAATTATGAGATGATTATATAATTTTCTTTCTTGCCATATTCTTGGATGTCATTTTACCTTTTGTGTTGCTTATGTGATCCCAAACGTGTGAATAAATAAATAAATTTTATTTACCTTCTATGATCTTGAATGTAGGACTTAATTAGAAAATTTATCGCAAGAGCTCAATTCATCTTATCTTTCAAAGCAAAAAATTGGGAAAACTATTCTTGAGGTACTTATAATTTTCTTCAATTTTTAATTTCTTATCTATATGTTTTTTTTCTTCTTATGAAATATTTTAATTTTACTATTTAATATTATAAATCTCTATAACTTTGCTCTGGTATTATTAGACCATGTGCAAAAATTAATTGTGCTAATAAAATAAAATAAAACAATTTAATATGGAAAAAACTCATAAGTACCAAATTAAAAATTAAAAGAAATTATAAGTACCTCAAGAATGATTTTTCTATTCAGTAATAAGAGCATTTTCCAATAATATATAAAAAGTAGTTATTTAACTGCTGAAATGTACTTAGTCCGATTTTTAATATAAAAGTTAGTTAATTAATTTAAATAGATTAAAAAACTTGGTTAAGTTAGTTATTAATCTTACTAATCAGGTATATTAGTTAGATTTATTATTTGATGAAATTACTACAATAATTACTTTGGAAAAAATAGATACATACGAAATAAAGTGAATTGGGATATTACATTGAAAACCAGATTAAATTTGAACTCTTATATTAAGAGAGTGTTTGGTTAAAAACAAAATCATAATTTTAAAAATGATTTTATAGCATATGAAATACCCTTAAGATATATTAAGGAAATAAGTACATGAATTGCGTGAAAAAAAACTTTTAAAAAGTGTTTGTTGGCTGAAGCAAATACCCCACTAAGATATACTAAAGAACGTAATGGAGATAGTACCTTGATGAATAGTGGAATTACGATACGTGGAGTTAGAACAGAAATCTGACACAACATTTGCATGGTGCTTTAACTTACCCGCGCGATGATGACTGCAGTCTCATTGTTTGCATCGCCCATTACTCTTCGTTACTATCGAAGCTCCTTGTCGTAACAAAAGGATCGATCAGTTTCTCCGATTCATTTGGATTTCGTAGCCTCTCGTTCTTGTTACCATTTTCACTGCTCTGAGCTTTTGGGTAATACCATGGCTTCTTTTGCCGCTTCAAATGCTGTGGCTTTCAAAGCCGCCGGTGTCTCAGACAAGTTTGGTGGCATCACTAACACCAAAGCCGGTCAGCTGCGCCAATGCTCTCCAATCCATGTAGCCAAAATGGGTCACCTCCGTCCTCTTTTGGCTCTTCACTGCAGATCGAACTCTTCACCGAGTTCGTCTGGTATGGATCTCCCTCTTTTCTCGTTTCTTCCTTGTATTTTAGTCTTTTAATTGGTCTGTTGTCTGGTAGCCTCTCGTTCTTGTATCGTAACATTGGAAATTTATGTCGGAACAAGATTGTTTTATCTTTGCTTGATGTTACGTTTGAGTTTTTTCCTTCTTTGGCAAGCGCAGGTATAAGAGTCCATGCTGCTACTCTCGAGGAAGCTGGAACTCGTACAGCCCAGAATGTGGAGGCTCCTGTTGTCATTGTGACTGGAGCATCCAGAGGCATTGGCCGAGCAATTGCATTGACTTTGGGTAAAGCAGGTTGCAAGGTTAGCGGCACTTTTTCTCTTCAAAGGGGGAAAAAAAGCATTTTCCTCATTTTTTTTTAAGCGGTAACTGTCACAGATTTGTAATAGTCGAGAAAAAACATTTCTTCAGTTTGGAGACAAATAATTGTTTTTTACGTACTCTAAAGTGGCATGGTAAATTTGGAATGGATACTTTTTGCTGTCAAATTAACTTTGGTAAACCAGTGGATCTTGATCGTCTCTTGGTAATTAAGAGGTTTAGGGAGGAAGAAAGAACTTAAATTTTATTGATAGTTTGCTAATTTTGCTGGATTGTCATATTTTTAGCTAGCTAAAGAAAAATGAGAGACTTTCACTTCCAAGTTTGTTAATGTTATGATATAAGCTTTAATTCTGCCCATAAAGTTCTTGGCTTTTCTATTACAGGTTCTGGTTAATTATGCAAGGTCATCCAAGGAAGCAGAGGAGGTTTCCAAGGAGGTAGAGAACTGCTCTTATGAATTTCTGATAATATTTGTATTGGGACCTTTCTGCACCATAATCATGCTGGATTTAGCCAAGCATAATTGGTCAGCAAACTATTGCCACTTGTTAGATGTTGTCATTATTTATAAAGCCAGAACCGTTTGATGTTCTTCTTTTGCTCTTCCCCAGAAGAAAGGATTGTGTAATTTTTTCCGTGCGAAGGAGGCGAGTGTATGATTTGTTCAACTTAATGTTTATATATGATACTGATCATTACCTTTTTCTGCCCCCATTATCGTTTCGTGAATCTTTGTTTTCGGTTGCAGTTTTAGGATCCTTTACTGTTAAGCTATCTAATCTGTGCTTTAAACAGTTCGTGTAGGTCACGTTGATGAAGAAAAATAATTATTTTTGAAAAGAAGTTCCTGAAAACTATTTTACATATATAAATTGGTAGTCTAATATCATTTTCATTCTTGTTCTTTCCATCCTGCAAAGTTATACGAACTCATGCTCGATATCATTTTTGGCATATTGTACTCATGATATCAGCTCATATCATCTGTGTTGTTTGAGCCAGTGCTCCAGAAACTACTGATTGACTATATTCTATAAGAATATTTGATAATTCCTTGCAGATTGAGGCTCTCGGTGGACAGGCTCTCGCCTTTGGGGGAGATGTTTCTAAGGAAGGTGACGTGGAGTCTATGATTAAAACTGTGAGCAAATATTTATGAACAAGTTTAGATTTATCTACCAAGGAAGCTTTATGACTTTCAAATTTGCAGGCAGTTGATGCTTGGGGAACTGTTGATGTGTTAGTAAATAATGCAGGTAACTTGGATTAAACATCCAGTGCTAGTAGCTTTCAGTTGTGAATGTTATACTGAAATAAGGTAACCTAATTTCAGGAATCACTAGAGATGGTTTGTTAATGAGAATGAAGACATCTCAATGGCAGGAGGTCATTGATCTGAATCTCACCGCTGTTTTTCTTTGCACACAAGTAAGTATTTTCCCACCTTGATTTTCATGTTAATTAACGTGATCTTCTGTTGAGTTAAACTGGTTTTTGTTTTGCAGGCAGCAGCCAAAATTATGATGAAGAAGAAAAAGGTGACATCACACGTCATTATTATTATTATTATGTTCACTTTTTTGTGTGGGTATGGGTGTTATTGGACAGAACCTTTTGGCCTTCATTCTGATTGCTCTCTCTGTCGATTCAGTCCATTGCTTTCTAATTCCATGACTTGCAATATAGCATCAAGTAGTCACTAAAGCTTTCAACCTGTGTATCTCAGTCTGCTGCCGTTACTGCAGGGAAGGATAATTAATATTGCATCAGTTGTTGGTCTCATTGGGAATGTTGGTCAAACTAATTATAGTGCTGCAAAAGCAGGGGTCATTGGTCTGACAAAAACTGTTGCAAGGGAATATGCTGGCAGAAACATCAATGTAATTCTCTAAATATGTCACCTTTTATGCCTAACATCAAGTTTCAGGTTCCCAGCTGATGATTTATAACCCGGCATTTCCTTCCAGGTTAATGCAGTTGCCCCTGGATTCATTGCATCTGACTTGACTGCCAAGCTAGGACCTGACATTGAGAAGAAGTTTCTGGAGGCAATTCCCTTGGGTGAGTCATAAGTGACCAAAAAAACACTTCAGCCTCTGGAGAATAAGAATCTCTAAATGGAATTTTTAATTGATAAGTAATTTAAGAAAATCTTGATAACTTGCTCATTCCACTTGGATCCAGGAAGATATGGCCAACCAGAAGAAGTCGCTGGACTGGTGGAATTCTTGGCTCTTGATCCTGCTGCCAGTTACATCACTGGACAGGTAAATTTGTATACTGCCTTTATGGTTTTATAAACAGAATTTGCCCACGTAAACTATCCAATTTATGGTGTGCTAGGATATCTCATGAGCTTAGTATAGTTTATAACTTGCCCTGTCAATTTAGATTCTATGATTTACCTGCATCCCTCCTTTTATTCATTTTTTGAGAACGTATTTGGACCAAACTTGCTTTTTGTCAGGTATTAACCATAGATGGAGGGATGGTGATGTGAATCAGCGATTTCGTGCTACTGGCCACAGAATCTTGACTTCTGCAGTATGGCACTTGCGCAGTATTTCATTCTAGGACAGTTTTTTCATCATATTATCGAACCGATTGAGTTCAGTTATGTGATTAATTTTGAATAATATGTTTTTATTAAAAATGAATTATATAAGAAGGGATTCCGAATATAACAATACATGTGTGACATAAGTGATACTTTGTAGGGGTATAAGATAGAAAGAGAAGTTTCGATGTGAAGTCGAGATACTTCAATTAGGCTACTTTAAGAAATAAGCATTGTCTTTCAAGAATTTTATTAGAGTCTTATTATTATATTCCACACAACAAAAAATAAATTACAGATACACTTATTTTGATCAAAATGACTATATTTATAATATAATATAATCATTATTGCATAGGCATTTGCCTGATATAATATAGTTAAGTTTATAAATTTAATTAATTATAAGAGTCATTTGCTAATACTCCTCCGGTCCTTAATATAGGACCCAATTATTAAGTTGGTTTTAGTCCTAAATATAAGACCCATTTCTCATATTTATCAATTTTCTCTAAATTACCCCTATGGATACTCTCTCAACCATAATCAAGTAGAAGAGGGAGAGGGGTATTAAGAAAGATGATTATGGTGTTTTAGGAAAAATGTGTCATTTTTCTTAAAATTAACTAACTTAACTAATTTCCTTAATCTAATCAAATTAGTTAAATGGGTCTTATATTAAGGACCGGAGGAGTAAATAAATTATTAAAACCATTAAAAATTAAATATATAGACAATAATTCAAGTCAAAATAAAATCGCGCTCCACTAAGTCAGAAACAAGAATCCCACTGAACACTACTAAATTCTAAAGTTTTGTCATTCTACTTCTCTAACATACCACAAGAATCACAATTAGATCTGCATAGGGTCCTCGACAAAGAGCATGTACATATTTGTAACCCCAAGTCAATCTTCAATACTGAAATCTCCTCCTTAAATACAGTCTTTTCCAGTTTTGTCAGATGTTCTCGAAGGAACTTATTTTCCTTATGGGTAAATCAAACTTGGAGTAAAAATATGCATTTGAGATCCCAATACTCTGTTTTTTTTGTGTGGTTTCATGAGAAGAACTTGTAGTCCTTTGCTGAAAGGATGATATTCCTCAAAGCACCGATTGGAGATAGCGTCATCAGTAGAATACCAAGAATGATGCAGGTCTGTTCATATGCAAGCATTATAATACGTTGAATCAGAAAGGAAAAAAAATGAAGGGAAGTCTCAGAAAAATTATCACTTGAAGACTGAATTTCAAAGTAATGTCAACTTAAAACGCACCCAATTAACTATCCATGATAAGGAAAACCGCTTGGGTTTGTAGATCTTAAGCCATATGATACAGGGAAGCTGCAAATAACAGAGAACAAGACTTAGCAGATGCCAAAATACGTTGGCTTCTTCTTAAGAGAAATCCTTTTTTGATTGAAATACTGAATTCCAGTAGCTGATCAAAGCAAAGACCAAATACATACACCAATAAAAAGAACCCCTTATCAATGTCTGCCTTTTGGACCCAAAAAAAAAGTACAGAATGATCAAAGATACAAAAATATCAGTCAAACTATGAGACTATTTAGCTGAGCAATTAGTAGTAGAAATGTCCTCCCTTGTTCCTAAGGGAAATTCTAGCATATGTAAAAGATGTATTAGAGCTAATCTCATACGTGTGATCGATTCTATTTTAACTTTTCCCCCTTAACATGTAAGGTAGTAGGTAGATAAGAATTTGAAATGAGAAAGATTTGGTGGTACTTACAAAGTATGATGTTGGAGCAAAAGCAAATCCTCCGAGGAATCCAAGAAGGGAACTAAAGAAGGGGATCGCTATGGCAATGATCATTGTTAACACTGTGAAAATAATAAACGATAAAGGATGTAAGTATAATTAAGAACTTTGATTAGATAGCATTATCCCATAAAACAAATGCTTATTAAAGCTGTTTTGTGAAATTGACGAAAATTACATATATTAAGAAAATTTGTCATTAATGACTTGGTACTAGTATCTAATGCATATGATTAAAAGAAATAATTAAAAACCAAATTAATTTTAATAATATTTATAAATTAGTTAGGGTAAAAAAAAAGGAACAACAAAGTAAGTTGCGACAGAAAGAATAAATACAAGTGCTGTACATACCGACATATATAGTGCGAGTAATGAAGCGAAGGAGAATGGAAGGAGGAAACTTCAATTTCACCACCAAGTAGGTTTCCAACATATCGAACACCGACATTGCATACACCTGTTTGTTATGCACCCATTACAGGGGAGATTCTGTCAAGTGCTGTACTTAGCTTTGCTCCTAGTCTTGCCTCTTTTACTTCCGATGTATTTAAAAAAAAAAAAAAACCAAAAGAAAGAGAAGTCTGAAAGTGACCTGATAGCCTCCAATAACATGAATTACAACGAAGATGTTAGCAGCCGCAATGAGCCACCTAGGATGCTCCAAACCGACGAGGACATTGTCGGCGACGGAATTTCCAAAGACGTAATATCCCACAATGGCAACAGGGAAATAGCAGAAGGCGACTCCGACGTAGGCCCAGATGACTCCCCTCCACATGGGACCCTTGGAAGGCTTCTCCGGCGTGGAAGGTATGGTGGCTTGGATCTCCAGAGCCACGCTGTGGCCGGCGTACGCAAACGCCACGTCCCCCAACGACGTGAAGAAATTGAAGGTGGCGTCCGCCGTGCTACGTGCCTTCATCGCGTAGCTGATGTCTGGTTGAACCCCTCTTGCCAATGAAGCTGTCCAAGCGATGATCGAGTACCTGTTCTTGCGTAGCACTTATTAGAAACCAATTTCCTCTCATTCATAATCCCATTGTTTCACCACCCTTCAAAGAATTGATGAACTCTAAGAATTAATTAAGAGATTTGCTCAAATTTAGTTTGTTTTGGGATAGTGTTTAGTGCAAATGACTAAAAAGTTACTCTCTACCAATTTTAAATACAACAATCATTTCATAGTTAGCTACAAAGTGATTCTATTTATAAGAGTTCATTTATAGTTTATAAACGAGGTTTTATAATTAGGATCGTAGGTAGTATATGTACTTGAGACCAGAGTAATATTCATTTGGTCTTATTTATAAGGTACTTTCAACATGTTTCATATAAACTAAGAAAAACTTTAAACTTTATTAACTCTTATTTAAAATTTAATAACTTTTCAGCGTTATCACTATTTAGTATACATTATACCTCATATAAACAAAGTTAACACAATAATAAATGAGGGGTAAAATTGTATATCCATACAATTTTTTTTTTCCAGTGCCCTATAAATTGAACAAAAAAATATCTTCTCTCGTCCTGTAAATAGGACCAGATGAGTATCATTTATAATTAACTAACTCAACTAATTTTTTTAAAATTAAGAAAAAATATGGGGAAATTGCAAAAAAAGACCTTGGAATTGTAAAAACGCAGATAGGGACCCTTGACAACTTCACTTTGGGTTTTGACAAGAATAATATGCCCTGAAGTTGTCAAGGGTCCCTATCTGCGTTTTTGCAATTCTAAGGTCTTTTTTTGCAATTTTCCCAAAAAATATTGTACTTACGTGAGAGACATGACCGCAGCAGCGAAGGAGACAGCGGACATGGAATTGAAGTTGGGGAAGTGACAGAGGACGAAGTTGATGGAGGCGAAAATGACAATCCACCAGGAGCTCTTGAAGGTGGAGCAGTCAGAGCAAATGGAGTCGTGGGCTTTCTTCAAAGAGTGGCCTCCCGTGACAGTATACGCAATGCAAGTTCCCACCTGCACCACCAGCTGCTGCGGCACCACTATGTAGAGGCCCAGCTTCTCCCCAAAAGCATGCTGCCCTAGCTCGTGGTACCGGTCGAATCGCTTCCCCGGCACCATCTCGTGCATCTCCACCATCTGCCACAGCGTGAACAACGTGATTGTCCATGATAGTACCAGCACTATCACCCCCGGTCCCCTGCGCACAACATCATCAATCATATGTTTGTAATCCCTGTCTGATACTAAACGTGATACCTCGAGGAATTTGAAACTATTTAAGCGATTAGTGAATTTACTTGCATATATGCTACCTCCAATCTTCGTTTAACTTTTATTTTGATCTTAAATATAAGACCTTAATCCATTTTATTTCTCATGTTTATCTTTTATTTTTTTCAAGATAATTCTTATAATAATAATAGTTCTAGTCAATGTTTTAGAAAAAGCTTATACAGTTTGGGAAGGGGTTTTGATTGATCAAAAAGAAGAATCTATTTCAACCAATATGCCCTTAGGCACGGCCATACATAACATAGTAATCACACTCGGAAAGGGTGGACAAATAGCTTAAGCAGCAGGTGTTGTAGCAAAACTGGTTGCAAAAGAGGAGAAATCTGCCACATTAAAATTACCTTCTTAAGAGGTAATTTGATACGGGCACATTAAAATACACTTGATTAACAAGGATATTTAAGAAAAGATAATACTTGTTTATTACAAATAACTAACTTAACTAATTTTTTTAATATACTCAAATTAGTCAATTAGTTTTTATATCAAGGATCGAAGATATTAGTTGAATGGTGCATTCTCGTCATGACCAAATAAAAAGGGCATGCATGTTTGGAAGTTTCAAAACCGAACAATACGAATGACTGCAAAACTCATTCCAAGTGATCCGACCCTTTAGTTAAAAACCAAAAGTCAATATTTGGTGGACATGAATCTTCAGCGACGATTACAAAGTTCAGTGAGAATAGAATCAAGGGGGGGAAAAAGAATAAATCTAACTTATGATCATGAACCAAGATGAGATTTTAATTTAGAGACATATATAGAAAAGAAGGTACGTACCATCCCATACGTGACATGGCGAAAGGAAGGCTAAGAACACCAGCACCAACCATGGCAGTGAGATTGTGAAAAGCCGAATACCACCATTTGGCTTTTCTGGATCCGGTGATCGGAAGCCAGTCCTCCAGCTGTTTCTGCCGTGCCGCCGCCGCATCATCAGCCTTGGCCGGCGGTTTCTCAACTTGAGTCATTGCGTGCGTACGATTAACTTCTAATTAACTAGCTACTTATGGATTCCCTAATAATTACCTGTTGTCGTATGACCCCAGTTTAATTTATATGTGTCTGTGGATATATCGGTGGGCAGAGCCAAACGTTATGAGTTTGTGTGTGGCCG